TATATATATATATATATATATATATATATATATATATATATATATATATATATATATATATATATATATAAATATATATGTACCATCAGGCTGGATAACACCTTGATATATATAGAGGATATATATACTATAGGGTGTAGATCAGAAATTGCTACTCATTTTTGCAAGTATTACCCCTCGATTGTTTACATGAAAAATTTAGACTTCTCTCTAAATGTGTTGTATATAATAAAATAAAACTGGATTTGTTTTATTATAGTATTTTAACTATAATAAAATAAATCCAGTTTTATTTTATTATAGCTGAAGTATTTTTAAATACCTTCGTTTCATTTGAAAACAGTTTCGTTTCATTCGAAACCCAGTAAATGTTAAATGTTTAAAAGAGTCTTTTGGTTTTATTGTTTTAAAACAATTAACAAAAAAAATTTACAAATTGTTAATAGATTTAAGAGTTTTATCAAGTTCAAGATTAGTTGTGTCTTGAACTTGTATAGCTTTATCAAATCGAGTACAAAGTCTTCTTCCTGAAAAAATATATAAAAAAATGTTAACATTAATGATGATAATAACAATAAAAAAAAAAAAGATAACAAGTGTCAGTTAACTTTTTTACATAATCTCGGATATAATGGTCAGATAATAACTATCATCGTCATTATCAGATAATATTTAATATCAGATAATATTTAATATCAGATAATATGTAATATCAGATAATATGTAATATCAGATAATATGTAATATCAGATAAATTTAAGTATTGTGCATAATGGAGTAAACCAAGTGATATTGTATCAGCTCTATGACTAGGATTATTTTTGAAAATCGTCTAAGGACAGACCAAATATGTTCCATAACCTCACCATCTGAATTACCAACAGCAAGAGTTGATTTAGATTAATATTGCAACCAAATATAAAAAATAACATTAAAAGTAGTAAATGGCACCCAATCAATATTGTATTTAGAATACTAATTAACATATAATACTTGGCAAGCTGCTCTTTGACCATACACATGAAAAGAAGGAATACAAAATGACAGGTTCTTTTTAAGGATACTACTTCTTCTTTTCTATAATTCAAATAAAAACTAATAACATGAAAACTTATACAATGTTACTTATGCAATTAACATTATGTTACACATTACTTACAATGTAATATTACAAGTAACTTATAAATACAACTTTATTTTATATATTGCTTATGCAATCTTTAAAACCTTACATGAATGGAAATCATGTTGATCAGTAACCAACAAATTTTAAAAGAATTACAAAAATTTTAACTTTAAGATGTTTAACAAGGATGCAGGCAATGTCATACATAACCACAATCTTAACATCATCTTTAACTTCACCAACTATTTGGTTTATCAAATAAACTGCATTAGCTAAACTAAAAAAAAAACATACTGTTAACTGATCCGCAAATTTTATTTGTGAGATTGTCTTTGCATATCTTATTAGAATTTCTTTTATATAAGACAGAAAACTAATTTAAGCAAAACCTTTCACCAGCCTTTAGATTTAAAAACTTTCGTGGTACTTCATGTCTACAAGCACATCCAAACACACCTGTTTCATCAAGTTTAAAATTAGCTTTTTTAGTTCTTAGTGAATTTATTGCTTTAAAATCATTACATGCCTAAATTTTAAAAAGAAAATTAAAAAAAAAAATTATCGCTATTTGCAAACATACTTTTGTAGTTAAACACAAGAGTTTTATAGAAATAATACTAAAAAAAAAACACTTATTTTTAGAGGCATTCTCTAATCTCTAAATGCGTTTTATATAATAAATTCAAAAAATACTAGGGGTTTTATATAATAAATTCAAAAAATACTAGGGGTTGCCTAATAGCCATGCATATAAAACCAGTCCCTAGCATTATCAACATTAAAAAAAACCATAATCTTGGCATGTTCAACAGCTAGTTTGTGTGCTTTTGATACAAAATGTTCACTAATTTTTTTTCTTAAAGATGCTTGTTGCACTATTTTGTCTTTCCCCGATGTCGTAACGTTACATTTTTTCCATTGCTGAGATATTAGTTTTGATTCCATTTTTAAACAATACTCACATTCCAATTTCCGATTACTGATAAATAGCCTATCATATTTAATTTTAAACTCCTTCAACTGTTTTGCATTCCAACAGCTTGGTAAATTATTATTGTCCTCATTTTGGGAACTAGGAATCTCTAGTATTTCTTCCTGTAAAGTTCTTGAAACTGCTTCTACCTCTGTTATAGTCGACCTGCTATCATTACTTACTGATGTTTCTTCTCTTATTTTTTTCGAGAAATATGTGGTTAACATATTTTGTCTCTTCATCTACAAAAAATAAAATAGGTATTTAAAAATTCATAAAAAGGTGAATATCAGACCAGTAACCAAATAACTTTAACACAAAACTATATTTTTATTAAAGAAAAATTATCAGAAATACATGGTAACAATTTGGCACTCAAGGATTGAATTAAGGCATCGCGATTTGCGATATCTGTGAAATTATTTGGTCTTCAAAGTTTCAGTTTATGGAAAACCACAAAATTTACGGAATTAAGGCGAATAATCTTTAATTTGTTAGTGAAAATGTTATGAAAAGCAAAACAATAAATTTATGCTTGATTTATTAAGACTATTTATTGACCCAAAAATCAGAACAACTTGAGTATTAGACAAAATGAACGGGCGAAAGAAACTTCTCCATTTAAAATTTATGCAGAGGTTATTTGAGATTCGAATTATTGAAAATGTGGTCAAACTATTAACAGAATTATTAAGGTTCTATAAATTACCTTTCATGCTCGAACATGGTATGAGTTCAAATAATTTTGATAAAGTCAGATAACAAAATACATCAAAGATTTTTCTTCTTATTCAGAAAGTGTTTAGAGATCATGTACAACTTGTTTCTAAAGTTTCTCATATTGTCTATGGTATAGAAGCACGTCAAAACTTATTGTGGATAAAATTCTAATCAGAAAGCATCAAAAGAGTTTTAAGCTTAAATGTTTATTTTTGTCTAAATAAATTTTTGTTATAAGAATTTGAGTTAGTGAATAATTTTTATAATTATTTAATATTTAAAGTCATTTTTTTTTGAAAAGTTTATTTATGCAATTTTTCCTATTTTTTCTGTGTGTATAGATTTTCTATGTGTATAAATTGTATAATATGTGTTTCTATGTGTATAGATTGTATAATATAAAATATGTGTAGATTTTCTATATTTATATCAACACAATTTTACAAAATAAGAATAATTAATTGCCTAATTAATTACGTTAAAAGAAGAATAAAAATCTTTAATTCTTTAATTTTATAAAGACTAAGGCCAAAACAATCAAGGTTAAGGCCAAAAATTTAAAGGCTAAGGCCGAAAGTTTCAAGGCCAAGGCTTTAGTTTTTGGTCTTAAGGCATGGTCAAAGCTGAGAACCAACAACTCTGGTCTAAAGAAACCTCTATATAGAAAATAGTATAAGTTATTTTTATAGAAAAGCTATACAAATTTTGTTACAGGGTAGGGTAAAAAATTAATGACAATTCCATTTTTTTACTTTTAAATTGTATTCTTAACAGTTTAAATACTGTTTGAACAGTTTTACTTCTGGTTGTCTCTGATTTGCCAAATATTCTAAAGCAACAAAATATTCTTCATCAGAATCAGAATAGTCCAAATCCATAAGAAACTGTTAATTTTAGTTAACTTTGATGTTTTCAACTCAAAAACATTTTGTTTTAGACAACCTTTTAAGTTATTGATTCGGAAAGTAGATTTCCGAAAATAAATTCAGAGCATAAATATCTGCAAAATTTTACGCCGGTAAAAGTTTTATAACATTGAATGAAAAAACATTTTACGTCTCTAAATTTACGGCTGTAAAAATTCCAGCGTAAAAATTCCGCCGGTAGCATTATACGCCGATAAAAAGTTTTATAACATTGAACCCAGTGGCGGATCTAGCATTTTTTCAGCTTTTTCAAATAGCTATCTAATAGTTAGTACTTTAAATAGCTACTCAAAAGGCATACTCTAAATTTTTATGATTTACTTATGTCAAATAAGGTATATTATCAAATAAGTTGTGATAATTGGAGCTTGAGAACTAAAATGCCAAAAAATTATTTTTCTAATTCATAGGTTATTTAAATGTTTATGTATAAACATATAAATGTTTAGAAAAGTACTCTAAAACAAAAAATTCTGGATCTGCTTTTGACCAAAACTCTTATGTTTTAAAATAAAATATAATGAGACAAGGTAAATATATAAAGCCAAATTATAAATTTATAAATACAATTACTCATTACAGTATAAATTTATTCAGGTGGAACATCTAAACCCAGATTTCAATTAATTCTAAATATTAAACATAAATGATCAATAAGTAATTAATATCTGTAGAAAAGTGTTAAATAATTTAAATAAATTCAAAATTTAAAAACACCTTCTAAAGTTTAAATATCTGCATTGATCCGGTTTACCGGAACTACAATCGATACAGTGAGGCAAATTTACTATTAATTCGAAACATGGCACTATTTGTATAGTTAAATGAGATAAGAACGATTTTAATATATATATAAAGTAACATGTAAATAGCATACCCACAAATATTTCAATTACCAGTAAGTAATGCGGTAATGGTGTAGTGGTAAAGCGCTCGCTTCATAAACGAGTGGTTCCGAGTTCGATCCCCACCACGTCCCTGGTAGTACCGCGCTCAACTCGTTTCTCCGCGCAGCGGCTTTGTTCGTCAAGGTTCGTGTTTCGGAGTTATAGAGTTGAGAGAGGGTTATAGCCACAAATAAGTAGCCTCCTCGTCTGTAGTGGCCTTCTCGGCCTTAAGGAGGTGAATTAAAATTAAAAAAAAAAAAAGTATATAATAAAGGAATTAAATATATAAGCATATTAAATATATAGTAATATTGAAAATTTTTATGTATGTTATTTCTTACATATGGTGAATTATAATGGACCATATAGGGGAGATTGGTCTATAACGGGCCCCTCGGTTAAAACGGGCCCCACGATTGGCACGACACCAAGCGGATTTTTTCGGTGACTCTGAATGCAAATAGAACCAGCTTAGTTTAATGAATATGCATGATTGTTTACATTGCGTTAATAATTGACAGGGTCTTGTAAAAACGTGTCGAATCAATTATATCAATTTCTCTTGTTTTATTTGACGTTACGAAATCACAGACCTACAAGTCATATCGTCATATCGAGTTACAAGGTAGGGCACTATTGCTTTTGTTTTTTTGTTACGATTACTCAGGAAATGAGCGATTTCATGTGTTTTTTATCGGAACGTTACAACATGAGGATTTTGTAATGGCCTTATCAGTGTCTAAAACGGGCCCGCTATGGGCCCATTTTAGACCAAAGGGCCCGTTTTAGACAGCTGATGCAGGCATTGACTTCTTAAGGTGGTTCATCACAAAATAAATGTGAATAAATTATTTTTTTTAAGAAAAATTATTTTCATCTTTTCTGATAGAAAATATTCTACATTTTGTTTTGTATATTTTGTGATATTTAACTTTTTACCTAGGTATATTATCAAATAGTTCCTTAGCAACGCCTTAGTTACCGTTTTGAACAACTACAAACCTATCTAGTTCATACTATGAACTTCATATGTAATATTGTTTAATGAGAGGTCTTCAAATTATAAATTTGTCTGAATCTGTTATGTAAAATATAACTAAGCTTAAACTGCATTATGGGATATATCAACATAAAAAAGTCGTTTAAAAGTGTGCTTATTTAAATAAATTTGGTGTGTTATTAAAATAATTTCTTTTGATTTTCTTGTTGTTTTAAAGTAAATTAATGGTACTATTAATCAAGGGTGTATGTCTTTGAATGTTTCAAATTAATGTATAATCTACTATTATTACAGATTAATAGCACATTATGTAATTGTATTGTGCTTTGTTTCAGCTTCTTCAATAAAATGGGACGGTATAAAAGAACAACTGAAAGACAAACGTGGTCAGAGACAGGTATGGTCAAAGCAATTGAAGCATTACGTACAAAAACAATGGGATTAAAGAAAGCCTGTAAACTTTTCAGCGTACCCCGTTCAACACTTCAGCGGAGGTACAAGTCAAGTCTAGCAAGTGGAGCAGCAGCTGCAAAAAGACTCGGCTCAAGGTGCAATGTATTCGATACGGAAACTGAACTGGAACTTGTTCAGCATATAAAAACCATGGAAAGTATGCTTTTTGGTTTCACACCTAAGCGCTTACGAAAACTCGCATATCAACTAGCGAAAAGTAACAATATCCATGAAAGATTCAGTTCTGTCAAAGAAGAAGCAGGTCTGGACTGGTATAGAGGATTTATGTCACGACATCCAGACCTGTCTTTAAGAATGCCAGAGCCAACTTCTTCGGCACGGGCACAAGGCTTCAACAAAGTTGTTGTTGACCAGTTTTTTGATTTGCTCACTGAGTTACAGACAAAGCACCACTATAGTCCAGACAGGGTATACAACTGTGACGAGACTGGTTTCACAACTGTGCCGAACAGACCTTCCAAGGTGATAGCAGCAAAAGAGGAGTGAAACAGACTGGGCCTATCCAATCAGTTTGTCCAGAATGTGGAATCATGGAAAAATCTGTCGAGGATAAGGTGAAGGCGTGTGACTGGATTTCATGCAAAACCTGTCTGACATGGTACCATGAATCGTGTGCAGAAGTGAATGGAGTATTTGATGACGATTACTTTTTATGTGTTCAATGTTGTGAGTAGCACCACATGCTACTCGTTTGAACGTGAACTTTCTATTGCTAACTGTTCATCATGAATAGATCTAACTGTAAAACCTATTCACGAAGCTGCAGAAGTGAAATGTATTCATCGTTATTAATAGCTTAATAGTTAGTTTTTGTGTTGAAATGATGAGTTGTTTATTGTTCAGATCTTGCTATTGCATGATAGTATCCTGATAGCGTAGACGCAAAATTAACAAGTTATCATTTGAATAATGTTATGATCTGATTTTGTCACTGACAGAGCACAAGGTTAAAACGGGCCCGGGGCCCATCTTAACCTGGCCAGTTAAAATGGGCCCGGGCCCGTTTTAGGCTTAGCTATGGGATAAAATGGGCCCCTAATCACAAGTTTTAAAAGTATGATTAATTAATTAGTTTGTTATATTAATCCAACTGATTATGACCCATTAATTACATTGTCATCTAAGTTATGCTATTCTTGCATTAGGCATTCAATACTGGTATCTATATCGGGAAAAAATGAACTTCTATGCTAAGGGGCCCGTATTAGACCACGCTCCCCTATGCCATAGATGCCGAGAAAATATAGTAGTAATAATAAGTAATAAATAAGTAGAAAAAATAGGTAGTAATGTAATGTTCTAATAGCACAAAAAAATAGTGCAAAGAATATTCTAGATAATATATTAGTTAAAATAGTTTCTCTGTTTATATTTAAAATTAATAGAAAAAAAATAAGATTTTGTTTTTAATATAATCGCTCTCTACTAAATTCTCCTTTTTTTTTTTTTTTTAAAAAAAGTTATCGTGCGCGAACAAATCTTCCTAAATATTAGAAAAATATCTCCTTAAATTTCCTCAATATCTTTTTACGCTTAAAGTCTTAGTTTGAATAGTGGGAACCCTGTCATGTTTCTTTTTAAACTAATCATTTTTTCAGCTTTTGAAATATTTGATTTGCTTAAAATACATTCTATTTTATCTACGTTCAAAGATTTCGAAAGAGTAGCTGTTTGCTTGATTATAGAACTAATGTTTTCTCTACATGTTTTGCTCATATTTTGTTGTAGGTGTAATTGTTATGTGCGAACTGTGTGTAAACATTCATCTGAACACTCGTAGGGTCTTGGTATTTGATTGGAAGCATAAGGGTTAAAATGTTGTGGAATTCATTTAAAGTATTTAAAGTTGTACTATAATTTCTTCATGTAAAATTTATATTTTTTTTTTCAATAATAATTTGACAGTTTTTGTTTTTGTTAAAGTATTTTACACTTGGTTCACCTGTCGGATATTCAGTTACATTGGATGTTGTTTAAGACATTTTTTGTTTGTTTTTTTATATTTGGAGCAGCATCTATAATACTTCTTGGTGAATAACTTGTTGAATCCAATGGAAATATATTGAAAAACGGTTTATTTGTGAAATTCATGACGACGATGTTGATAATTATAATGTTAGTGAAATTAATATTGGATTTGTGTAACAATTTATTTCGTTTTGACAGCTGTATGACTTCAAACAATCTACCAAAATCTTGCTTGCATACCTTTTGCAAATTTTTTATTATTTTAATGATATTAGTTGACGAAATTAACCGATCACTTGGAATTGAGAAAGAAAATTTAGGGTATCTTGTTTTTAATATTAGCTTGCTAATAATAAGCGGCAATAGACTTGGTGCGCAGAGCAAATGAAAACAGTTTTTTAAAACAATTGGTTATGTATAATGGGGTTGCAAATAGTATTCACACAAAGATTATTTGGTTAATTTTGCTTGAGGTAAAAGATTTAGATTGTATATTATTTAATGTCCTTAGTCCAAATATTTTCTCTATAAGTAAAGGTCTTTCACTTATTGAAATGAAAACAGTTTTTCAAAACAATTGGTATAATGGGGTTGCAAATAGTATTCACACAAAGAATATTTGGTTAATTTTGCTTGAGGTAAAAGATTTAGATTGTATATTATTTAATGTCCTTAGTCCAAATATTTTCTCTATAAGTAAAGGTCTTTCACTTATTTTTTTTTAATAAAAACAAACAAACACATTTAGTTAGATTGCAATTTTCAGCTTCAAGATTTTAGTTTTATTTCAGTATTTGAACGATTTTCAATATTTCTTAAAATTATTAAGCATCTATAACACATTTTTAAGTATGCATATTTGGGTGTACTGTCAATTCAGATAAAAAAAACAACTAAATTCTACTCTAATAATATGTTTTGTTAAAAGAATAGCATCATTATTTAAACTTTCTCCACTTATTTTTTAAAATGTTCTTAGTTGTATTTCATGGGATTCATTTTTACGTTATGATTCGATGTACAATAATTTTAAACTTGAAAACGTAACCGGACGCTGATTTTCTTATATTATATAGTTGAAATCTTTATTATTTTTTTAATATAAAGCTTTAAAGCATAAATATTGAGATAAACTTGTTAGGGTTGTTCACTTTTGCAAAAGTTGAGTTTTTGATTAATAAACAACCTTTCAAATCTCTCTTTTTGTTTCGATAAGTTGGAAAAGATTTTTAACTACTTATTTTTGAACCTACATTTTTGAAATGTCGAAATAGTTAAATATGTTAAAAATAGCTCCATTTTTTTAGCTCTTTAAATCTTAAAAATAGCTCCAATTATTTTTACCTTTCGAAACTTTGAAAGTTATATCGAATTATATTTACACTATCTATTCACCAAAACAGTTTTTCAGTTCGAAACTCTATAATTTGTATTGAAATATTTTTATATTATTGAAATTATAAAAACTAGCAGTAAGCAACCCGAAGTAGAGCGCGACGGTTATTTGATAAACGAGTTTTTTAAAGCTTATTCGTTAAACGGTTACGAATATTCGTTTGTTTTCATTTTATTCGTTAAACTAATACTGAACAAATAATAACTGTTCAAAAATAAATGCTTAACGAATATTCGTTAATCAAAAATATTCGTTGCCACCTATTCGTCGTTTAAGCTGAAAACGTTTTGTAATAAAATGTAGAGTGAGCGATTGGAAAACAAGGTTATTACAAGAAGTCCAGATATCAGTAGTAAAGGCACAACCGTCAATATCAATCTTCTCACTGTCAATAATTTTGTTCACATTATCACTGATGAATTTATATAGCTTAGAAATTCTGACCTGAGAAAGTGATTTTGATGAAACAGGGTTATTTTCCCTTCGTTGCTTGCTTCATTATTTCGTGAAAATATTAACTATCCACTATCCTAAAAGGTAATTGTTCGTGGACAATCCACTGAGTCAATGATGTAACTATATTTACATTTTCAAAATGGTCTTTGGGCCATTGATTAACTACACAGAAAGTTTTAGAGACTAGCATTTTTTGACTTACCAGATGATGTTAAAAATTAAGAGTATGACTCAGGAGAGGCAACAAGACGAGCTCGTTTGAGTGTACTGATGAAATTGGTTTCTGAAGAGTCGTCATCATTAATGAAGCGAGACTTTTTATCAATCTGTTAAATATAAATGAGTTTCTCAAATGCCGAAAAAACATGGGAGTGCTGCCCTTTTAGATAATTAATAAGACCTGAAGTAGTACCGGCTTTAGCAGCTAGTTTCTTTTCGCACGCATTACACTTTGCGAGAGTAGTGTCAGTCATTTCAAAGAAATCTTAAATATAAGACTTTCTGGGCATTTAATGAAGAAAAACAGCTTGTACCTGAAATAAACAAATTCAAATGTTTCATCTAAATTAAATTTTAATCGAAATTCTTTTAGAATATTATTAGTATAAACAGAAATTAGTTAGGGTAGAAATACCTCTGCCGATAATCAGCACGGATAATAGCTAATATTTAATAAAATTTATTATATTGTTTCATTTCACAATATTATAAATATTAGATATTACCCGTGCTGATTTTTGGAACAGATATTTCTATCAATTATTTCAATAAAATTCATATATATATATATATATGTATATATATATATATATATATATATATATATATATATATATCAAGTAAAGTAATAAATTATATAAAGTAGGGTTTCATATTTCCCGTTAGTTTTGCATCCCGGGATTCCCCGTGTGAAACTTTGTTATTATGGGATTTCTCGGAATAAAAATAATATAATAACAAACAATCGGTTTCTGGGGAAATTTTATATTATCACACTAATCTTATTTATTTATTAAAATATTACCTACCCGGAAACAAATTCTTCCCATAAGTATACCCAATTTTTTGATTTGATTTAAAGCACTTTTCCAAAGATAAAATTCTTTTTCCATTAATTTTTTTCACAAAAACATTGCCATCCTTTCGCTCCACTCACTATTGACATCGTACAATTATTATGAATCGTAAAATAATCTTCTCTAATTAAAAACAAAAAATACTGGTTGAAAAAACTTGGTGCTATTTAAGATAAATTATTCTTTAAATTATATTTTTTGTTGAACTGGGTTTTAAAAAAGGGTATTTATACATAAAACTCAATTTAAAAAAAGGAATTAACACATAAAACTTATTTAAAAATAAGTATGAACAAATAAGACTAAGTTAGAAAAAAGGTATGAACACATAAAAATCAGCATAAAGTACGGTATGGACACATAAAATTTTGCTAAAAAATATTAGGTATATTTCAAAAAAAATCACTTAATTAAAAAAAGCCTTATTATTATTACTGCAAAAAGTAAAACCATTTGAAAACCTGAAATGATATTTTGTTCGGAGTCGCACGGTTATACACAACAAATTATTAAATTATTAAAATGAATAAATTGCGTAAAAATTTACTTGTTAAGTTGTCTGGCTGAAGATTAATTTTATTTAAATATTTCGTTGATATAATATATAATAAGCAGAAAAACATTACTTATTAATTAGAAACAAACTTAAAAATAATGTTTCCTTATTTGTTTTGTAAAGTAAAGTGACAGCAATAAATCGTAATAATTACGACAAATTGTGGTTATTTTTGTAGTTTAAAGATAAATAACAATAATCAATTTACCAATTAGGGGAAGTGGGGGCATAACAGCCCCCTGTAACGTTTATATTAAAGAAATATGAAAATTAAAACTACATGTTTTTTTTTTAAAACCATAAAACTTACCCATAAAAAGTTACGTTTTTAAGTCATGAAAGATTTTTACTTAAAATTATATAAAAAGA